TGATGCAATGGAAGACAGAATTAATGAGATTGAAGACAAATATCTGACTACTTCTTTGGAAAGGGATAAATCAGGAAAAAAATCAAAACAAAATGAAGAAACCCTAAGGTTCATGTGGGATACCATCAAAAGGAATAACTTACGAGTCACTGGAATTCCAGAACAGGAAGAGAAAAACAAAAACACCGTGAAAATTGTTCAAGATTTGTTGGAGGAGAGCTTCCCTGACATTATCAAAGATGAGGATATATCCATTCAGAAAGTCCAATGAACCCCAAACAGGACAGACCCCAAAAGAAAATCAGCTTTTTCTAAGCAGCTGCTTAGAAGTATGATGAAAGACTAAGAGAAGGAAAAAAGGAAAAGAAAATTCATTTTCCTCTCTTCAGACTATTCCAACTGAATGCTTGGTAACACTGTGATGATTACCTGGTGGTGGTACTTGTATGAGGTAACTGTGTCTTGTGGAGACATAGAATATACTCTTCTGCCTTGAGACTTTAATGAATACAGAAATACAATTAAACAAGAGGAAATCAAGAAACCAAACAACACATCAATAAAAGATGTTTTGTTTGTTTCCACATCACCCAAAAGTAAATGAAAACAATCTATCCTGAAAGCATTCCAATTCGGAAGTGACTACTAAGATAACACTAAGTCATCACTCCACTGCTCTATTACAGTCAAACCTACAAAACCTGGAACCTATGTAAGGCAAATCCTCTCAGATAAGGAAACTCAAATATTTTCCATTAAAACCAATGACAGAAAAGTGGTAAGACTGTACCCTGTCAAAGTTGGAAAACTGCCAAGACTAAAAAAACAAAGCCGTCTCTCAAGTTCCAGCTCTCCCAGGTTTCACTGTACCTACCTACAGACGCCCCAAGTATATCCAACTATAGTTCTAATGCAGATACTAAAATGTAACCAGGAGCTATAATTTACAACACTTTCTCAGTGGCTTTTATCTTAAAAGCTTCAAAATCAGGAGGACCAACAACAGTTGTGCTAAAAGAAAGTATTCCCTCCAAGATTCAGCTTAGGACAACAGTAGATGACTGGTTGTTCAGCTGCCTTTTATACTTGAATAAAGCAGGATGTATCGAATGTATTGGAATCCAAGTACTATTCTCTTCTGGCTCATGAACTTGTTTTTGCGCAAGTAGAAATGATTTTGAAAGGCTCAGACATATGGATGACATACCGTCACAGCAGCAAAAGTTCTAACAGCAGAAACTGTAATACTTGTAAGAATGCAGAGGGAATCAAATTAATCACAAGAAACAGCATGAGGAACCAAACTGACAAAGATGAGCCCCTGAATCAGGGACTTAAGAGTACTTATTTCAAAAGTTTATGTTCAAGTACAGCCAAAGCAAATGACTAGAAAGAAACATTTTCCCTAGCTGTCCAGTGTGAATGCTCAACAATTCCAGAGGATGATCAGGTTGAGATTTAGGCACTGATATAAGAATGGACACATATACATGGTTTCATAGAAGGCTCTGTGCCTAAAATCATTTAAGTCCTTCACCAACAAGTGACAAGTGAGATAAAAGAGACAGAAAGAAGCAAAGTGTCCACTCCCATCATCTCTAATGCTGAGATTCTTATTTGCTTTTTAATTGGGCAGATGTTTCAAGAGGTGGTATAAAAAGCATGTGATGTGAGAATAGTAATAGTGAGG